TTTTTTTTTTTTTAGAAAATAAATATGGATCACTTACGCACAACGAAAGTTCGCCTATGTCAGAGTGCCTTCTGGCTGACATATAAAATACGCAAAAAAGTATCGCAAGTTCCAATACAGTAGGCGTCGTTTTGGAATGTTGACAAAGGAGAAGGAACTTTTGTCTGGAACAAGAAGTGGCTTGGAAGTGTCCATACATTTTTATTGAGGAGCCTCAGGGTTTTTTCTGAGGTGTCACTGAGATCAGTTTTGTGAACGATGCCAATTCTATCAAATGCTATGCGCGGAAGCAACATAAGAAGCCGGGAATCGTCCAATTTTCTTTTTCTCCAGGCCAGTTGCCGTTGCACCAGCACCACCGCCAGCATCATTTTCCATCTGTTTATTGGAAATAATTTGCCCAACCAACCAGTCGTTGCCAATTCGACGTTCCACCAGGACACAGTCGCCGGCATGCACACCCAGCTCGTCATCGGTCGTTGCCGTAAAGTCATACAGGACACGGTAAATTTGTTTAGTTTCATTGGCACTACTACTGTTACTGGTACCACCGAAACCGGTTGAGGAAGAGGAGGAAGAGTTACGGAAGGTTGCCGATTCATCATATGATAATGAACGTGGCACAGCGAAATGCTCCAGTGGCTCACGTGTTTCACTGACTGTCTGAAAAAGCACCACAAAAAGTTCGAATTTTTTTTATAAAATAGAGTATTTTTAGAAGAAATATGATAAAAGCATATCGAGAATTTTTTCTTAAATAGTGTGATTCTATGTCTAGTCGGTGAGATGCTTCATCATTCGTAATGAAGAGGTTATGGTCGACAAACACCAGTCATCGTACTGAAGTCATGTCAAGTACTTCTTTTGGAAGAATCGTTGTGTTGGTAAACTCTTCAAGAAATGAAAGAAGGCTCGATCATTAGGCAATGCCGCATTAGACAAAGCAGCTGGAGAATCAGGCTATGAATTACTACTGAAAGTAAAATTCTTATAAAAAATTATTTCTTTGGAATTTCATAAAAGAAAAAGCAAAGTTTTTTTGTTGGATGCTTTTCCTCCTGATCATCATTTTCTGATTTTGCATTTATTCGTTACTATTTCATACGTTATTTGTTCAGTGTCTCGAAAAATAAAAAACCGACAAAAAGCCAAAATTTCCCCCGTTTTTATTCTCCGTGAGAGGTATAGGCACTTCATATTTTTCCTTCAGTGGCAACTAATGAATGAATGAAAACTTGAAGTACAATTTTTTTTTTGAAAAATCTTAACAGTGCTTGAGAATATGCTCCATACCGGTTCAGTATCCTCGTCCACGCTGGAGTTGGTTGGTAAGCTTGGAGCTGATGGCTTTTCCGCATTTTCATATTCGTCTAATGGTATTGTGAGGATCGTTTGTGTAAGACCCTAAATACAAATAACTGCACTGGTCAGTGAAGAATGTGACATTTCAGGCAAAATATGAAACTTTTATTAGAAATCGCGCGTCAAATTTTACTTTTTTTTAAAATATTTTACTTTCACACCTTATTT